AACATCTATTTCTTTGAAAAACAAATTTGGGAAAAAGTATCTGATGAAAATATTGATTTGATGGGTAAGTATTCGTTTTTTCTTACTAAATAACTTTTGTTGAGTAATAATCGATATATAAGTCACGCTGTTGGAAATGAGCCTGTTTGGTTCATGGTGTCTCCTAGAGTGTAAAGTTGTCCATGGTTATATGAAGGAATCGCCCAATGTAAATATTGATATTGCAATGAAGCATCTGATATTTATTTTATTTTTTTCTTTTAGGTCATTATTTGACTCTTTATTATATGGCTCAATTAAAATGGAAAAAAGATGGATCATATTTAAATGTAACAGAGATGCGTGAATTTATAAATACTGTTCGTTCAAGACCTAAACATGAACTTTGTCTTTTGATCACTACTGCGACATTATCAAAACATGCAGAAAATGCATCTGTAAATTTTGATGAAAAAGAACATGTTATTATTTGTGGTTATAATGATATATCTCAAAATATTAAAAAATATGAAGAAAAACATAAACAAGCTCTTGAAAATAAAAAGAAAAGAAAAAGAAAAAAAGCAATTTATCAAAAATCTAAAATCATAAAACTCAAAGATGAGAATGAAAAATTGAAAAAAAAAAATTAAAGAATTAGAAAATAACCAAAGGAAAAATGAATTACATATTAAAGGAATTATTTAATTTATTTTTTATGAAAATAATTATTATTTATGTTTAATTTTTATGTTAATCGTTTTAGATTAATTATATGAAAATTATAGTAATCCAATTAAGTTTTTGATTTATATATTTTATTTTACTAAGAAGAAAATGTAAACTCTAATGTATATATTAGTTTAATTAACTCAATTTCATAGTAGTTTTATTTGATTCATTGTACGTATTTAATTTTATTTTGTTCAAATTAAGTATATGTATGTCTTAGTTTGTAAGAGAATTAACACCAAAATTAAGTTTTTATTAACTACGTTAAAAAATTATATTTGGATAACGCAAATATATTTGATCTTTTTGAATGTATATAAAGTATAATTTTATAAAGATTTAATAAATTGTTTTATTGATTCATATAATAATATGCGAAAGGATGCTCTGATACTAATGTCTCTATTTTATTGTGAAATTTCAATCATAAACGAATGAATTCACCTAGGATTATAGGATTTTTAAGTTATGATAAATATATTATGTTTTTATTTATTTAGTTATGCAATTTATTTTATAATATAAATTATAACTAATTTCTAATGCACTACAAAGATAATATATTATAATAGATTTACAAAAGAGCGTTAACTACATATAACAATCACAAATAATTCAATTAATAAATTATATACAAATTTCGATAAACAAAATTTTTTTTAATAAAAAGCAAAAATTTTTCTTAGAACTAAATTTTTTTTTTTTCTAATAGGTTTATAGCGACTTCGAAAAAGTCACTTTTCTGGCTTCTAATTAAAATTCAATTTCGATTGGCTAAAAAAAAATGTAAAAAATCTGGCATTGATTTGTATTACACCTTGTCAGTTATTCTACAGGGCCAGAAATTAGATCCGGAAAAACTCTGTTTGATCAAAATTTCCATTTTTAGAAAAAAGTCAAAAACTGGCGTCATATTAAAAAACTTTTTTTTGACCAACACTAACTGATAATTTTGCCCATACTGCGTCTTTCCGAAACAAAATCTGGCTACAGAATCTAAAGTAACCATTTTTGCAGATTTAATACACAAGGTCACTAGGGTAACATTGAAATTTAACCCTAGTGACCTTGTATATAACTATAATTGAATTAATATAAGAAAATGTATCTAAAGTATCAATTCTGTAAGATTTGGATTCTTTATTACAGTTATATCTAATAGCTTGTCCAGAGATAATTGTTGTTTCTTCAAATATTTCCCATGGATCCTGAGTGCTATCCATATCTTCAGTAT